GAAAGTTGGACCAAAAAGAAATAAAAAAAAGGGCAAAGGGAAATGGTCTCTCATTCTCACCCTTGTCCCTTGTTCTTCTCTTTACACGCAAACACACTTTCAAGACTCAATTTTTAGCAAAGACAACCAACAAACTCAAATACCACAAAACACACACTCACACACTCACACACTCACACACTACTCCCTTTCTTCTTCCTAAATTCCTCTCACTCTCTAAAAACTCCTCAAAACTAAAAACAGAGACTTTTAAAACAGAGACCCGATTGATCCCACCTCCGGAATGGCCATAAAGACCCACCCCCACCGCCTCCGCCTCCGCCGCCGCATTTCATTCTCATTCGCAATTACAGTGGTTACAACATTTCTTCTACTTTCTTCAGTTTCAGCCATTAGTTCTAATTCTCCCAACCAACTCGTCAGTAAGTATCATCAAGAACCCGGGTCATAGAACTCCTGAATTATGCTTTAAACTCACGGGTTCATGATCCTAACCCGGTTGGCTTTTTTTTTCCTTGTAGGTGAAGAGATGAAAGGAGGAAAGAATGGAATTTGGAGCAGAAGAAGCCTGATCGGACCCGGGTCATCACCGCCCACATGTAGATCCAAGTGCGGGAGATGTGCCCCATGTAAACCGGTTCATGTACCCATTCAACCCGGTATGAGTATACCATTAGAGTACTACCCTGAAGCTTGGAGGTGCAAATGTGGAAACAAGCTTTTCATGCCTTAAAAAAATCCAGCTTTTTTTTTTTTTTCCAGTTTCTTTCTTCTTCTCCTTGTTCTAGTTCTACTTTAATTGATTTAATATACTAGTAATTAATTTTTTCAGTTAGTTTTTTGATATTTTGTGCAGCAAAAAAAAGGGGAAAAAAAAAATACTGTTAGTAATAGTGAGTTGTATGACAAAACTGTTCAGATATTATTATTTAATATATATAGTTTTTAATTTCAACTCAGTATAGTCTGAACTCTGAATTTTCTTTTCCAATGAAAAAAGTAAGAAAGGGGGGATTAAGTTATTTTCTACTACTTGTATGATTATTTCTCTATTCGTCCTAAAATGAAAATTCAGATATTATTGTTTGTAGGAATATAATTTTTTTTTCCTATTCTATTTACTCCTAGTATTTTTTTAAAAAATTATTATTGTTTTTTTTGTTAAACTAAGAAATTGTTTAATTCAATTATAATATGTGTAAAGTGACTTAGCTTATATAAGTGGTGGTATTGATTTGTGTGGATTTTTGGTGAAGCGGAGACAGAGGGAACTTTGGGAATGTAATTTCAGGTTTAGACTCTCAAGATGATCATTACCTTTCTCTCTGTCTCTCATTTCGTTGCTTTGATTATTTTGCCTTTTTCTTTTTTCCTTGTAGCAGTTTTTATATTCACGTGGAAAATTATGCTCTGTAGTGGAAAGATGATTAGTCTATTTATATTAAAACAATAATCATTTTGAAACAAGTAGAACAATTGAAATTATTTATTTATATTGATAAAATAATTATTTTGAAACGGAAAGGCTAATTAAAATTCATGTTATCCTGTCGGTTTGCATTGGGTGGATATTCCGTCTTCTGATGTAAAGCTGTGGTTGGAACACGATGTAATCAATGTCTCTCATCCGCAAAAACGTTCTAATCTAATTTTCATCAGGCTGTAGCCTTATTCTTTGTACCCAAAAAAAAAATAAATATATGATACAAGGAAGTATTAAAAAAAATGCCGGTCAAGTAGTTAAAAAATTGATTCCAACTAATTGGAGATTATAGTTTGTGATAGATAAAAAATGTTTTTTGAAAACTAAATTTCGCAATAAGCTACCTGCTTACATTCTGTAATGTTTATTTTATTCATCGCCACTTGAAAAATAGCGCGAGACAGTTTTTAATTTTAATTTTTTCTTTTTTTTTTGTACTTGAAGGAAAAATCTTATAAAATGGCACATTGAAATAGTGAGAAAATTAGGGAAAATTGGTGGTTTGGTCATGGCCATTTAATTTTTCGATTTTGACTATGATCATTAATACTGTTCATCATTGTAGAGAAAAAATGGTGCTCGACAGTGATGCATCGCTTTCGCTTTCTGTGATAAATAGGAGTAGGGATTTTTCCAGTTGAACATTCGAGTCTTAAATTAAATTGCCAAAGAAGAAACTTTACTCATTTACTGAATTCAGAATATATCTTTAATAAATGTTCACTTCCGAAATATAATTATGAACATTACCACAAAAGGGATACTCGTAAGTTGTAACATGTGCCACTACCATTATCAAAATTCTATAGTTGAATAACTCCTTTAATGGTAACTATAATGCTTTGCATCTGAAAGAAAATCACTTAGATGGCATAGACTCTTCAGTGACATTTTGCGTGACACAGGTCAAATGATTTATGTGTATTTAAATAAGTCATTATTGATACTCTAACTAAATATTAAGTGATATCATGTTTCGCAAAATGATTAAACGTGTGTCAAGATTTTAGTTAATGTCACGAGAAGTATAATACAAAAACGTCAAAGAATATCTTTTGGCCTATGTAATAGTTTGAATTGCTCCATCAATATGAATATATACTACTTATAATGATTTGCACATGAACGAGAATCACTACTAACAATTTGGACTTTATTGATAATGGTCGAAGAGAAACAATGACAAGTCCTTGAGCATAATTCTACTCTTAATGATCTTTCTTTCAAGGAGTGCTACAACAACAATATTACTTAGTAGCTAGATAAAGTTACTGTTAGAATTATTATTTGAGTCGGTGGATGCATATATTTGGTTTTAAATTCATTTTTTTTAAAGAAAAGTTTGTGTTTGGACATTGTCACATTGATAGTCAACCTCATTTAAACGAGCAAAAAACACACAATAGAAACTGCCGATTTGTACGTTCCAAGCTCGAAGCAAATTTCCAAGAACATGGAAAATCACATTTTGACTTCCTGCAGAATTTTATTTTATTTTATTTTTCTTTTCTTCTTTCCCCATTCACATAATGTTATTGTTACAGCTAGAATTATTTGCATGTGAACAGAAGATGGGTGTCCATTCCAAATTCTACTCAAAATTTTATATCAATTATAAGACATGACTAGCTGTTGGAAGTACCTTTGAACACAAAAAATATTCTAAGTTTTAACCCCAACACAAAAACTATTTTTGCACCGGCTTTCAAAATATATGTCATGTTTATAATTGTGCTTTGAAAATTTCGCAAAATTGTGCAATTATTTCAAACCATAACCTCTCAAATAACTATGCATATGATCATATCCAAATCCCAAGTTTATTCTTCACTTTTCTTTTTTTCTTTTTTTTTTTTTTAAAAATAGTCCTTCAATTGAAAGAAGAGGGTGAGAAGGCACAGTAAGCAAACAAAATAAATAAGATTTTCAATACATACACAGGAAAAAAGGGGCTGCGGGGGAGGGAATATTCAATAGTTGTTTCTGCAATCTTTATGGTGACAAAAAAAGAGCAAAGATATTAACCAAATTTAACTATTTCCATCCTAAATATATTCACCATAATGATATAATAATGTAGTAGTATTTCATATAACTCACTCACCTTTGAGATTGACATATACGAGTAAGATGTGACAATATATGTTGCTCAGACCTCAGACTATTCAGAAAATCCTCTCTTTGAAGTGATTATTAAAGAAAGTCTCAATTTCAAAAGGATTCTCTCGTGCAGTTAGGCAGAGGTTGTATTCCTGCTGTCCTTGTTTCAAGAAATTTTGATTATTCCTATTCTAATTGGAAATGAAATCTTAAAAATGTTCAATATTAATTGAAAAAACGTGGTGAATAAAAATATATTTTTAAAATTTATTTTGAATTAGGTGAATGAACACAATAAGAAAATAAAAATAACTTATAATAAGGACCGGGGATCGAAAAAAGTATAAAATTCGAAAATATACTTGTTATAGCAGTTACCAACATGTCCCGTTAATTAAAAGTTCTGAGGTTCAAATTTTCTAACAAAGAGTAGGTCTAATTTCTCCTACTCTGATAGTTGTTGGGGAAAGACACAATAAACATTCCTGCACCCCCATGATGAGGGAGGGTGAAGAAGATATGTTACATTAATTTAGGCCAAAGTGAAGAGAAAAATCATGGTACTATGGTAGTGTGTGCATAATTAAGCATTATATTGTATCCCCCTGAAATAAGATCAGACAGGGAAGACCCCAGGATGATAATGGCAGGACTCAGGAGCAGGTAGGATTGGTGCAAGTGTGCTTTGCTACTAGATGTGTCTGTCTCTCACTTTTATAGAACCTAGACTAGAGGTCAAGTCGGTATTTTCCCTTCTATCCCTTTTTTTAAGCCCATTCTCTCATCTCCATCAGTCCCCAAAACACACACACACACACAGAGAGAAAATTTCCCATCTTTCTTTCGGTGGATTAGTATTATTTTTCTTCAATTTTTTTTGAAACAAATCAGGGCAAAGGAGGGAAAAGAAATGATTTGAGGTGATGGGGGGATTTGACACTTTGACAGTGTGTTTTGTTTGCTGACCTGATGAGAGCGCCTGAGCAAGTCTCTGGACAAACAATCCTTTTTTTTTTTTTTTTTCATCCTAGACCTTTCCGACTTTTGCAACACATGAGCAACAGAAATCTAAATCCTTCGTGCAACTCTCTGTGTGTTTTCTGTCCCACCCATTCTCCCCCCTTCTCCTCTCTCCAAATAATTGCCTTCCCTGATTAACTTGGGCTTCAATTATATAGCCTATGATGTCCACTGTCCAAAGACCAACTCCAAACCTTGGTCTACTTCCCTCCAAGAAATGATAATAATACTATGTCCGTCACACTTTAATAGTTCACTTTGTTATAACGAAATTATTGGAATTAAACAGAAAAAGTAGTAGTTGAATAGTACATATATGCAGAGGATGTGAAACATTGGCAGGGAAGAAATACTTGTAAATGACAATCAACCACACAAAAGATTTGAAAGAATATGCATGAAAAAATCTTGTTCATGTTAAACCCTAAATTTGTACAGAAGTAGTACCACCACATAAAGTTACTGCACACAGTTTCTATGATGCTCCAAAATGGAGACGATTTTAGTCATGGTTGATCTATGGCATTCATTAGCCTGATTAAGATTTCACAAGAATCTGGCTCCGGAAAACAAAAGCAAGGATACTAATTCTATTGAAAGACAACGATGACCAGAAGATTTAGTTCAAATCCAACAAAAACTTAGCGTAGTACTTTATATAGGTTAGATCAGAGTAATAACAAGTTTGGGAAGGACCATCTTCAGTCTACAAAACGCTGGAAGATAATCTTCCACTCCAACACCAGGTTAAAAAGCTAACCCTATGAGTTCTATCAGTAGTATTCATGCTGTAACCTCGTTCTGGTCTTTATCAGCAGTTTCTTCTTCATTTGCAACAGCTTCTTCTTCATTTGCAGCAGCCCCTTCATCATGTTCCATTTCAGTTGGCGGAGCAGGCAACACCTGAACCACAGTCTCCACCAATTTTTCTGTATCAATTCCAGAGCGATTCTCGCAATCCTCAATTATCTGAGCATCAATAGAGTCAAAACTTCATTCAGTCAGAGAAAATTTTCATATAAAAATGCGATTGAAGAGAAATCAAGGAGTCAGGGCGGAATATTAATACTTTTATAAAGTGAATAAAAAAGCACATGATTTTAGCATATTCTAAAAGCAACTTAATTGCGTCACCCACTCAACAGGACATAAAGAAGGGAAGGCAATGGCAAAACATTTGATGTGAGAAACGGGAAAAAAGAATTTAAGAAAGCAAACACTTTGGACAGACAAAACTATGCAATACTAAGAATCAATTGCATCAAGCACCACTAAGTCATTGGGGAAAAAAAAAATACTGTAATTCAAAAGATGTGTTAGATTACCGTATAAACTTCAACTTCAGATGCTGGCCTAATATTAATGATGTTGAGTATCTCAGCCGGTGCAAGGTCATAACTTTTACATTCATTTATGAACTTGTTCACAATATCCCTCGTTTGAACAGAAGCAGCCGTTTGTTCAAGATAATCGTAAACCTGCATGAAATACTTGAAACCATCAGCCAAGAAAAAGCATCCACATTACTTAATGTGATCAGCATCCTACCTTGAATTCAGAGGGACTAAGTTGTGTTTTTGGGTCCTTCCCATTGACTTTAGATCTCAGAAAGTCAAGGACTTCAAAATTAGTAAGTGCACCCGCATACTCTTCAAGTCTGTAAAGACAGCCACCAGCCACACAGATTACAGGAGATGTACAGAAGTTCGAGAATTACTAGGACTACAAGAACAACATAACTAAAAGCTGTGTCAAAGCCATGATTGTAAAGAAGAGTTAAAGACTGGTGAATCATGGTTAGGAACACACATTTTCATCACCAGAGATGTATAAAAGACAGGAACTTCCTTGAGCAGAACACAATGAAATTAACTGTTGACAGCAATCTGCAAAACCAAAGACGAAACAAAGAAAGTTCTGTCAGCTGAAGAATGAATAAAATGAAACTATCCCAAATTACTAAAATATAACTGTTGAATACATCACAGAACATTCTTGCCTTATGTTTGTGATATTAAGCTATGTAAACACTATCATCCGATCACTCCCGCCATCATTAGAAATCTTCACTCCCTACCTCCCTCATAACTACAGTAAAATCATCCATTAAGTAGAAATCGAAAGCTCCACAAGCAGGGCCACAGGGCCAGACTCTTGGAGGCCCTATACTTGTCGAGTATTTACTCAAATGTCACAAAAACAAACCATCTTGTATTTCAATAAAAAAACGCCTACAAACCAATAGACCAGCGCCATATGATCGTAAGGTTATAACAGAAATGTAGATCTGATTTGCTGTAACTTCTGTTCAAAAAAATTAGCTGAAAAAATTTTATGTCAAACATATATTTCCTTATCCTTACCTGCTTTTGAGTTCAATACACGTTCCACAAGTGAACAGACTTGAAAGGACAAAAACAGAACTTGTAGTGAGACATGTAAATAATGAAAGCACAACAAATTCAGGACCGAAATAATAACTTTTTCATTTGAGAAACTGAAAAAGAACCCCATTTTTTGCCCTTTTCTTAACTACAAGCCCGAGAAACTAAACAATAAACCTCCTGACGGTGTATTAAAAGTTTTTGAAACTCTGGGTTCTTCAAATAGCAACTGGCAACTTTAAAAATATAACTACTTCTCAGGCCAACAGAAACAGGAAGCAGCAACTTGCAAATCATCCTAAGAAGTAAGAAATCAACACTTTTTAAGCGTCATTAGCCAATATCTGCGCTAGCCAACAACATCAAACAGATCAAATTTCAAAACCTCGGGCCATCAATTGCGTAATTCCTTATTAGCTACCATGCAAGTAACACACCAAATCCTAATGGAATGGGAACGCCATTCTCTTAGTTTACTATCAAACATCAATTTCCAAACCCTTCTGGTTTATTTGAACCGACAGACCAGAGAAACTCAAAAAACTGAGTATCCATATACAAAAGAAATATTCGGAAAACGAAAACGCACCTTTTAGAGGAGAATTAGGGAAAATTGCTTAGAATCTCTCTTCTTTATCTCGCTCTTTAGACGGCTTCTCAGCTAAGTGGCGGACGCCGGTTGCTCGGTTGCCGAATCACAGCGCCACCGCCAGGAATTTAGGGCAAAACCAATTACCCGTTTTGTAATGATCCGAACTTTTTGATATTTAAGACGACTTGACCCGCGAATTTGGAATTGCGAAATGTGGGGTTATTTAATTAACCACCACTGAACTGTTAAATATTGCAACTATGACCACAAAACCTTTTTCATTAATACAAATCAATCCTTCTCATAATTTTCTTTTTCTTTTTTTTTTTCTTCTTACTTTCAGTTAAGATGAAAGTTATTGATGGATTCGTGTGGATTGATGATAAGTAAGGCGATCATGACATTAAGATCTCTAAGGGACGATTTTGTTAATTAACTCTTATGAAGTAAGAAAAGCTTATTAAAGTTGGTTTATGGATACCAATAAACACTTACTGCAAGTGGTAAAGGTATTAGACCAGTTTAATTATGACTCGCGTTTGAACTTGGGCATGGGCATCGAATCTGGATTAGTCGGAACAATGATTTCAGACACCGGTTGCATAATTGAAAAAAAAAAGAAAAGAAGTTGGTTCATAGATAAAATGAAATGATCATAATCTAAACCACAAAGCAAACGGCTAGCTAGTATTTTTATCAGTAACTCCTAGATCAAAATACTAGCAACATTCAAGATATACATAGCAAAACCAGTTGCATATGTAATTGAAGTACATACATTGATCTATAACAGAAAATCTTGTTTTTGTATCACAACAGGTAGAACTGCCTCTCCTGTCCTAATAGCCTCCAAGTCCTCTGAATCATCTTCTAAATAAGCTCTTAAGAAAGCAACCATAACACCTCCAACAAACCTCCTCATTGGTTCTCTAGACTTGCCATTCTTACAGAAGCAATACGTCGCCTTCCCGCGAATCCCTTTCGTATCATCATCCAGCATGTCAACATGTCCGTAATCCTTAACAACAAAGTAATACGCGGGTTTTTCGCACTCGTTGAAGAAATCGCCATGGTTCACCCCTTTCGGAGCACAAGGAGGATACAATGGATTCCTTTTTATTTCACCTAAGCCTGAACCAAGGACTAACACTGGCATTTCAAGATCAAAGGAATGTGGGATGTAAGTGAGGACCGGTGGAGGCGTTTGTTTCCCTTTATCCATCCCGTCAACCGGATCAACTCCAATCAGGGCTGAGAATTTCAATGGGGGTTTCGGGATTACTCTTCCAAGAGCCAGAGCAAATGCCTCTTTGCCTCCACGGCTATGGCCGGATAACGCGAGTTTCGATAAATTTGGCCTCACATTTGGTGGAAGGCAATCCTGTAGCCCTTCAGGAAACCAGTTGGTTATAGCTGCAGCAGATTTTATTTCTTCAGTTGCATCACATCCTGTCACAAGATATAGCTGCAAAAAAATATTTTGCACACCAGAGTAAGATACTACTAGCCAAATGACATACAAATTTGCGACATTAAGTTGTCAATCGAGTAGTGTTTCGTGTTCTAATATGCGTTTAATAATATGAATTTCATGTCTTGTTCATGTTCATACTGTACACAAAACAAACAGATTATGCCCATATTCAAATATAGGAATGGAGCAAAATATAATTTGTTCTCTGTCACAAATTACCACCCATCAGGCACTAATCAAATATAGGAATGCAGCAAGCTTTAGTAACCCCTCTATCATAAAATGATTGTCCTAAATAGTAGTACAACAAACAAACAAGACGATAATTTTGGGTAAATTTGCAGCATCCCAACTAACCATATCAGTACTCTTATAGTGCTTAGTTCATGAATTGGAATCATTTCAAACTTGAACCAACACATAAATTTAGCTACAGCCGAAACTAAGAAATAAAAATGAAGTAATTCATGAAAATCCCAGATGGGTATGAGGGATTGATTGTTGAGTTACCTGGGGGGCAACCACAATGAAGCCATGAGAAGCAATATGTTGAACAAGCTGTGAGTAGAAAGAGTTGGAAAGAAGATAGCCATGGAGGAACAGAAGAACTGGGTATTCTCCTGCTTGAATTGGGGTCCCAATTAACAGTGGCTTTGGAGGAGGAGGAGGAGGAGAAGAAGAAGAGGAAGAAGAAGAAGAAGAACTACCACAATTACCAGCACCGCAGAGTTTTTCTTGTTCAACTTTAATCAACTTTGTTTTGTAGTCTCCATTTTCAAACACACTGGAAGTATTATTACAAGAGGCCATTAATAACAAAGAAAGGAATTAATTGAAGATACCTTCTAATAAATTCTAAAAGCTTCTTTCTTTTTTCGGATTTTGTTGTTCTTTCTGATTTCAAGACATTTTTATAGTATGCTTCCAAGTTCCATTGTTTGCGTGTTCAGTTTTTTTGTGTAACTGAGGATAAGTCCACTTTTGTATGCGTATGGACTTTGTAGACCCACATGAATGTTTTCTAGTGGCTTTTTTCTAAGCCATAATGGGAACCCATTTAAGTAAGTATCTATTTTGTTTTTTGTGTGGTTTGCTACTAGATTTTTAAGACAAGATCCTCATTATCTGATGAAACCATAATTTTCCCATCTTTTTCAAATAATAATAATTAACAAAAATTTGCCCATTTTTGATAAGATTCCTTGCCCAATGTGGGTAGCAGGAATGAATTGTGATCAATAAAAGTGTAAAAAAAAAATGTGTTAACCAAAAGAGGAGTATCAACTTTTTTTTTTTAAAAAAATAAAAGTTAGAGAGGAGTATAACCTAGTTAAAGCTTGTTTGATAACAACATTATGCTTAAAATTATTTTATTACATAAATTTTTTCTTTTCAGTGTGTTTGATAATAAAAAGGGAATCTCTTAATGAATTAAGTGGTGCTGAAATTGCGCTACATAATATGAACAATAAAAAAATTAATTTATTACTTATTTCATAACTCTTTAATGAATTTCATCATTTCTAATTCAGTATTAAGTATTCAGAATTAAATACTAATGTTTATCAAACAGGCCTTAGATTTGAGAGAGGGTATAGAGTACATTTTCATTTTGTTTTAATTTATTTAAGAAAATGAGAGTGTGCCCTTGTCCCTCGTAGATTGGGAGATGATCATGAACTATACCACTCTCACTACCAAAGAATTTCTAAATGAAACTAAATGTTTACATGCAAGTTAATTTTATAGCATCGAGTTTTTTTTTTTTAGATATAAAAGAGAAATTCATTATAGCATCGAGTCTTGTTGACACCTTTACATTGCGATCGACGCGACAATGAACAGATGATATGTGCATCATTGTTATTAACATTTATATTCTAACTAAATAATAAATAAATTCATTTGGATAAGTAGTTAGACGTGGATCAATAATTTGAATGTGACACAAATTTATTAGTCATGAATTATGATGCTTCCCGGTACAACGAATTTGATACAAAAATATATAGTTCAAAAATTGATCACCTTTCACACTTGGCATCGATATAGCAATTATATATATATATATATATATATATATATATATATATATATATATTTTAGTTATACCACATGCATTTTCAGTTTTTAGGTTTTGCAGTCTTTGGATGGGAAAATCAGTGACCCACTCTTCAATGCGAAATGGGAAGCCATACCTACAAGATGAGAAAGATTTTCCTTCATCCTCTCTTCGTCTGTGTACATTGAGGAGATGAAGATCACGGGCTCAGAAGGTAAAAGGTTTTCTGCTAAGCGTTCAACCGAGAGAGGCTCAAATCATTTTAAGCCAAGTTTTTGATCATGCAGGTTTTTTGGAGAGAGTTGGGAAGATTCCCTCTTCTTGTCCATTTGTGTACATTTCTAGATTCTTTTAGACTTCACTTTCCCTCATATTTGTGGTAATTTCAATGTTACCATTCAATGCTTGTAATTTTGACACGTTCTTCACAAGGAATTGGTACTAGTCTAATTTTTTTTTATAAAAAATAATAATAAAAAAAATTAGATGGTTTCAGCGAGAATTGAACTTTCAACATCGTAATAATCATCCCCATATGAATCCCTTAATCACCCCACTCAACCTCAACTCTGAGGCAGATTTTTCACTTGATCGTTGAGAATTTCATGAATATTTATTACGATTATCCCTACCATCAAGACATAAAATATACTATGGGGAAGCAACCAAAAATGTAGAGTGCATTTTTTTTTTTTTTGAAAAAAAAGTGGTACCTGTTTTAGATTAAAAACGGAGAATTTGTTTGGCAATCTTGCCATTAATAAGAGATCGATCTCATAAAAAACATAAGTACGACTAGTTACAAACAAAAAATAGGATGAGGGAATCAAAGATGTTGATCACCAAAAAATAATAAATAAATAATAAAAGAAAAATATTATTTTTTATATTGTAATTAGTAACCAAGTATGTATACCAACCTTTTTCGTTAATTTTATTTTAAATAAACGATGAATGAGGTAAGAATGGACAGACGATTTTCCTAGTTCATCGGACATGGTGTCTCCCAGTTTCTTCTCTTCTTCCAAATCGGAACATTTCATTTTTACCAAAAAATATCAAAACAACTCAAAATTGTTTCAGCTACCTTCCTTCATCCCACCTAGAAAGAAGAAAAAAAAAAAAAAAACCCCTCAAAATTCCAGCTTTCAAAAATCTTCCATTCATAATCTTCATTCTCATCTTCATTTGGTTAAGGGCTGATATATATAGATATCTTAATAACAAAAAAACCCCTTAACCAAAGAATCAATATTTTTGTTTTTGGTTTTTTTTTTCCTCAAAATCCCTTGAAGGAAAAGAATTTTTTTTTTTAAAAAAATGGAGGCATTTAAGAGAAAACAGGATGTTGAAGGTGGACAATTGTACCCAGGAATGATGGAAAACCCACAAATGAGATGGGCTTTCATTAGGAAAGTATATTTGCTTTTGTGCATTCAATTGCTCATCAGCTTTGGTGTGGGCTGCGTTATGTTCTTCAACACCACCATCAAATATTTCATGGTCACAACTCGTATTGGAATTGCCATTCTTATTGCTTCCGCCGTATTCACCATCATATGTAAAATTATTCTTCTACCTTTTTTTTTTTTTTTAATCTATCTTCTTCAATAAATTCCTTCTTCTCAATTTAATTTGGTACCTTGATTTTGTATGCTTAGTTTTCTTTTCTTTTTTTGTTTTTGTTTTTTCAACCAATAACTTATTGTCTTATTTTGAATGTTTGGGACACAAAATTGGCAGTATGCTTGACGATGGGATGCTTTATGAAGAAACATCCATGGAATTACGTGTTAGCAGTTCTCTTTACCTTGTGTATGTCCATTCTGATTGGTGTGGCTTGCGCTTTCAAAAGAGGTACACGGTTTCATTTTTAAATACTATTTTTGACCTCGTGAAAAAATTGTTTTTACGTATTATAACAAACATGACAAATATTTCGAGAAAGGTTCTTACTACAAATTATTAAATAAGATTAAGGCCATATGATTACATTCCAATCCTCAAATCCTTCGGAATTATTTTTTTTTTGTGTGTGAATTAGTCTTTTATGTTAAAAATGACAGTATCGTATTTGAGTTATGATCTTAACTTTGAATTTTTTTTTGTCACATGTTCTACGACTATAAAATAAGAAAAAAAAACGTAAGGAAGTTTTGGCCTTCATTTTTTTCCTAATCGGAAAAATAACTTTAGCACCTTAAATGCATTTGCAAACCATGATTACTTTAAAGAAACCACAGCTAATAATAAATACTTCGATGTGATTTTGTAGGTGAAATCGTCTTGCAAGCGGCGGGTTTAACGGTTCTTATAACAGTTGGGCTTACACTGTTTACATTTTGGGCTGCGAAAAGAGGCTACGATTTTAGCTTTCTTGGGCCATTTCTATTATGTGCCATGCTAATTCTCATTGCCTTCAGCTTCATTCGGGTAATGCATATATATTACTCTCTCATGTCCTTAATAAAACATTTTGATTTGTCATAAATTTCACTTATTACGTATTTTTAATTAACGAAAAAATCTTAAAAATATATTTTCACATTCATCGTATTAACTTGAATGTTACGAAATATGTTTAAAATTTTTTCGTCAATTAAAAATTAAAAATATGTACTAGGTTAAACCCAAGACAAATCAAAATATATTATATTAAGGACCAAGAGAGTACTTCCTCTGCGTTGTTTAAATCTGAAGATGCGTGTATATTACACTAAATTCAGTTTTGAACCTTATTTTAAATCGAAGATGTTATTATCAAATTGTACAAAGTAGCTCACTTAAAATTGGATCATAATTTTTTTTTTTTGCCGGTTATGTGGGCAGATGCTTTTTCCAACGGGAAGATTAGGCTCGTTGATAGCTGGATGTGCTGCTGCGTTGGTGTTTTCAGCATTCATAATATACGATACAGATGAAGTAATAAAGCGTTTTGATTATGATGAGTACCTTCTAGCTGCAACATCGCTTTATACTGATATTATCAACATCTTCCTAGCATTTTTAAGCATTCTAGATGAGTAAAAACCTTTCTGATAAGGACACATTTTTATCCACAAACTAGAGTAGAACTTCAGAAAGCTTGATTTTTTTAGGTTAATTTATCTAAAAAGTTGTATTGTAACAGTCATACATAAGGTCTTTTTACCTATTAGCAATTTCTAATGTAGATTGGATCCTTTCATGGATCATATTTCTCATATGTATGAGAAATGATGTTACATGAGTAAATACAATATGTTAATGTGAACATGTGTGTATTATATGTTCTAATTTCTGAGAAGTCTCAAAATTTGTTGTGGGAGATATAGATACGCCGATCAAATATGACGCTTGTTCGAACCTCCACGGCAGTGATTTATCACTTGTTAGTAGGAGGCATTAACTGTCAAAAGAGGCGCTTTTAAGGTTGGACAAGTTAAAGTCGTCCATTTCTTTTTCTTTTTTTTTTAAATGATCTTTTTTGCTTTTCTGTTTATTGAAATAAAGAGTCAAACGTCTCCACCGTGAGTTAAAAAAATATTAAACTCACTTCATTCACAAATAGATATCAGTTGGAGAGATTTTACAAATTTTAAAGAGACAATAATTATCTTGTTAAAATACTATATTACATTCATATACTTTTAACATAATTGTAGTCCCAATAACATTTAGTTCTAATACAATTCTACATTAAACACGGCATACAATTTCTAATATAAAGGGTAATAGTGAAAAAATTGACAAAATATACCTCGATTTACGAAAACAATATCTATTTTAAAATATTTGGTTTTTTTTCTAACGACATCTATATACGAATGCCATATTAGAGGTTTACACTTACATTCCATTAACTCAATTCAATTCTCATTAAAATGGTTAAAACCGTTGGATAAAAAGTTGATGGTGGTCAAAGTTAATAAAATTTTATATGAGGTATGGAATTATACCGTACTTTGATGATCAAAAGTCAGCTTTTTTATTTAGCATGACTTGGTTTTTCCAAATTAATAAAACATGAGTCACAATGTAGTTCAAATTTTTATATCTAAATATTTACTTAGTATTTAATTTTCATCGGAAAAAAAATCTTGTAATAAATTAACTAATTTACCCCAACAAATAAAAATAAAAGAACGGAAAAAAAAAAACTACACGAAAAAACTAGCGGCCATAAACTAGAAAATCTAGCACCATTCCAATCTGGATTAGAAATTTCCAATATAGTCTCTATACATAGTAGTATGATTGTGAACATAATTTTTTTTTTGTTCCTTTTCTCCTCTGTTTTCTCACCGAGTGATTATCACTTTCGACAGCAATTAATAGCAGTAGATTCACACTGACACCCGATCCCTTTGTGGGCATGGCTGAGGCCAGGACGACGAAGTACCAACTCCTTATATCATTGAACAATTTCATTTTTGTTTCGTAATGTTTTTTTCTTTTTTTTTTTGTTTCTCAGAGCCTAGGCAATCTCTTCAAGCAAATCGAAGTTAACCTTTGGGACAAGTACCTAAATTGAATTTATGCTAGAGCTGTTGTTTTTATTTTTTTCATACCATTAGTTATGAAATTGTATAAACAACTAGTTTGGATTTGATTTAAAGCATTTGTCAACATTTAGGAATGCAAATATAGTTTGAGCTCTACATTGTTAAGTTATTAAATCGACATCAAATAACAGTCGAGTTATAAGGTATGTTAGTTTACCCACAAAATTATATGGTAAATATTTTGCCAAAAATAATTCAACCCAATAATATCAACGAATGAACAAAATAAAACTATTTACTTGCAAAATAGAAGGTAGACATTTCACCAAAAATAATTCAACCCTACTATATCAGTGAATGAGCAAACTAAAACTATTTACTCCACCGCTTGAAATTAGCCCATATATAATTAGGTTTAATGAACGAAATATCATTGCATAGATTTGCATGTTGAATTTTCACCAATCTCTAACATCAAGCTACATTTCCCGGCTTGGTGGTTTTAAGAATTTTACTTCTAGAAAAAGGACAATATCCATTTTTGACCAACAAAATTTGGTCTAATTGCATACGAAGTCACCACAAATGGTAACTAATTAACCAATTTTGTGCTGCATTTTTTTCTTCAATATTTTTTGTCATTTTTACAGAAATTAAATTAAGTTAGCGAAATTTTTGGAAAAAAATCTTATGTTAAGGAAAAAATTCACTTTTGATCACTAAAGTTTGGCATAATTTCAGATCAAACTATGATAAAATTAATTCTGAATTTTACATGCTTAATACTGAAATAGAAATGCTGAATACATTAACCAGTTACAAAATAAGTAATAAACAAACTTTTATTACTTATATTTTATATTGCAGTTTCAACACCAATTAACTAATTAAGAGGATGAGTTTTTGTTATGAAAATATGTTGAAATGAAAAAGTGCTTCATCAAATAATTTTAAGCATTAAGTTATATTATCAAACAAGCCCCCAGTAACCACTAAATTTGATCACCGTTAACTTTTTATTTAACACTTTTATTCATTTGAAAGGGAGTTGGCTTAAATTAATCGAATGAAAATTGTAGGCTGTTGATTTGGCTATCTTATAATATATATATATATATATATATATATATATGTTTCTTGTTACTGACGGTTGATCCTTTTGAATCGTTTTTTTTCCTTTAAAAACCAAAGATCGGGTATTTTAGACTCTTGATTTATATAGTGGTGATGACGTTTCAGTTGAAGAAGAAGTGAAGCACATTCTTCCACCATCACATCTTCTTGATGAAATGTTCTTCTTTTGAGATGAAATTTTGGAGCTGGAAATGCTGAACATCTATGGACGAAAGCATGACGAAGAAGTTCTTTGTTTTCTCCTACACCTGATTAATCCCCAATCAGTGATTTGTTTGCTTTTTTTGCTTAAACTGATCTTGGAATCTTGGAAGTGATTACATTGAAGTAGAGAGCGGCAAAAGATGGAGAAAATTTTGTCATTTTCAAATAGCAACAACAAATCAAATAGCAGCAATCCAAATAATCCTTCAACCCAACACCATTGCAATTCCATCTGTACCATCAATAAATGAAATAGCAGCAAACCTTATTATTTTTACCTATCTGGCCTTGTTGTTCTCGGCATTGGAAAACAACAATAGCATAACAATAAATGTCAACAAGAAAAATAGCATCGTTATTAACATCATTTGTTTCTAATCTCTCCAAGTTTCATTTAAGCATGATTAAGATAATTTCTTCTCATCTTTCCTACTTTAATTTAAGCATGACAGGACCGACCAACTTTCTCGGTTGCTTATTTGGTTCTTTTTTACTAGGTTTTTTCAGAATTTTTATTAATATATGTCTTATCCCATTATAACTTTTTATATTTCTAATACATCTTTTTACATTTCTAACTGGAAAAAAATACCTAAAAATACACAATAAAAAATCCAAACACCACATACCCTTAATCCCCCTTCTAGCAGACCTTTAATGTCCATGACTTCTAGAAGACCTGTAATCCCCCTTCCTTAACCCAATCATTCTAAAATAACATACACGATAATTATGAGCTTACATTAACAATAAATCATAATTTACAAATAAAATTATTTACAATCATCCGTGAATGAATCAGGCATCAGTTTCGCAAAACCCCAACTCAAAGTTTCAACACACATATATCATAAATCTCTATTGCAACTTTCACGCCTTTGCCTAGCTTTGCCTTATATGTTTTGCTACAAGTTTTCTGTGGAGTTTGAAAGATTGGTGGGTACATACTAGGTTGACGGAGGTGGAGGTGGAAGTGGGCGTGGAGATGAAAATCAATACGGAGGTCAAATTAAAGTCGACAATTTGATTTTGGCAATTTATTGGGTGCACCCGGGGACACCATACTCCCCCTTCTATTTTTTGCACTACTAGTCCTTATTATAGTTTTTACTTTTTTTTAATAATTTTCTTATTATTTGCAAGTTTAATCCCTATCAATTTTTTCTCTCTCTTCCAAAAAACATCTCTAATCTTTAAACAAGCATATCTCTCAATTCGTGAAGAATTAAAAAACGTCTTACACATGAAATTTATTGTTCTCGTCGAGATCTATCCAACAAGATTCATAGTGAATATTTTTTCCAGGCTTAAAAATGATTAAATTCTGATGGGCAGAATAAAGGTGGATATCCAGTTTTACAAGATAGATAACCAACTTATTTTAAATTGGTTATCCGTTGTGTTCATGCTGATTATCCAACCAGTTTGAACTGGTTATCCAACTTGTTTGTACTGGATATCATCCATTTGGTTTGTATGCCTATCAAACTTGTTTGTAATGTATATCCCACTTGTTTGTATTGGATAACCATTTGGTTTGTATTGGATATCCAACTCGTTTGTACTGGATATCCATCCATTTGGTTTATATGCTTATCCAACTTGTTTTGTAGTTGTAATCCAACGGGTTTGTATGCATATCAAACTTATTTCTCTTCTTTTTTTGCCTTCTTTTGAGAAAAAATCTGTCCAATGTGTTCATACTGATTATCCATCTGACTTCTCGGTGATGGATGGTTATCCGACTTTTTTTTTCCCTTGCTCTTTTAATGAAAATGATTGTTTAATTTTTTGTACTGGTTATCCAACCAGCTTGTACTACTTATCCAATTATTTTCAATGATTATCCAAGTTGTTTGTAATACTTATCCAAATATTTTATTTTTTATTCTTTTTTTGTTTGAAGATGAATGAATGTAAAAAATATGACTGGATAACAAGTACAAATAAAATGGATAATCCGTCCAAACCGGTTGGATAGATCTCGTCGAGCACTATCAAATTCATATATAATTCGTGTTCTAATTCTTTACGAATCAAGAAATATATGTAATACAAGAATATCAATCTAAATTAAGTTGGTTATCCATCTTTTTTTTTTCATTTTTGAAAAGTGAATGTAAAAAATATGATTGGATAAAACAAAATAGGTAATTAGTGCAAACCGATTGGATAATCAGTATGAACACAACGGATAATCATTTTTCAGTTTATTTATTTCTGCCCGTAAGATTTAATTGCATTTAAAGTTCAAAAGAAATATTCAACATTGATCTTATCGGATTGATCTTGTCGAGCACTATAAATTTCATATATAATTCGTGTTATAATTCTTTACGGATCAAAAGATATAAGGAACACAACAATATGAATGTAAAATAAGTTGGTTATCCATCTTCTTAAACTGGATATCCAATGTGTTCATATTGATTATCCAACTTCTTTGTGGTGGTTATCCAATATTTTTTTTCCTTGCTCTTTTATGAAAATGATTGTCAAACTTTTTTGTACTGATTATGAAACGTGTTGCACTGATTATCCAATTATTTTTTATTGATTATCCAAATTATTTACAATGCTTATCCAAACATTTTTTATTTCTTTTTTTTTTTTGAAGAATGAATGTCAAAAATATGATTGGATAACAAGTAAAAACACAATGGATAATCAGTCCAAACCGGTTGGATAATCAGTAGGAACACAACGGATAACCATTTTTCAAAGAAAAACGAAAAATACATTTCTTCATTTCTGCCCGTAAAATTTAAATGCATTTAAAGTTCAAAAAAAATATTCAACATGGATCTTATCGGATAGATTTCGTCGAGCACTATAAATTTCATGTATAATTCGTATTCAAACTCTTTACAGATCAAGAGATATATACAATACAAGAATTTTAATCTAAACTAAACTGGTTATCCATCTTTCTAAACTAGATATCCATCTTATTCTGCCATCGAAATTTAGTCATTTTTAAACTCGAAAAAAATATTCGACATGAATCTTGTTGGATAGATCTCGACGAATACAATAAAATTCATGTGTAACATGTTGTCTAATTCTTCACGGATTGAGAGATATGATCGTTTGAATATTAGAGATGTTTTTTTAGAAGAGAGAGAAAAAAGTGGCGGGGACTAAACCTGTAAATTATAGGAAGATTATTAGAAAAGTGGTAAAAAGTGTAATAAGGACTAGTAGTGTAAAAATAAGAGGGGAGTATGGTGACCCCGGGTATACTGGATAGAGACTTTAGATTTTTATTTATTTATGATTTTTTGCTTTTTTGTTCTTTGAAAAAAAGGAGAAGAGTAAAACAGGTCCACTATGAGTGAAAAAAATTATAAAAATAATACCATATTATAGGTTTACACTTACATTCCATTAACTCAATTCGATGCTCATTAAAATGATTAAAAGTGTTGAACAAAAAGTTGACGGTGGTCAAAATTAATTATTAAAATTTTAGATGAGATATGGAATTATGTCATACTTTGATAATCCAAAGTGAGTTTTTTTTTTCTTAGCTTAACTTGTTTTTCCCAAATATTCTGTTCACTCTTTTTAGTTTCCATTAAAATGGCCAAAAGTGTTGAATGAAAATTTAATGGTGGCCAAATCTGGCTGTTACATTATTTGTGAAGGCTTGGTATTTAAAACAATGCTACGTCGCTTTTTAGTTAGAAACTAGGCTTTTGTTGTCGCGCGTTGCGCGACCAGTGTTTTTGTTTAATTTTTATACATCTTTCATAATTTAGAACGTATGCGATAGTTAAATTTTGGTAACACATTCAAAGCTTAATTTCGATAAAAAATGTATCAATTCAATTTTTTATTTTGTAATTTTTGGCACATTGTGTCTCTTTCTGTAATTGAATCATCTTAGAGTTATGAGATTGATGATTTTGTTGAAATTTTAGCATTGTTCGGTAAAAGCGCCTTCTACTTATCACTTAATTTTGTTAGTCCTTGGTTACAAATTTCTCTATTTACCAAGTCCCTTTAATGTAATCTAATCCCAACTTTTGAAATAGCTTCTTCTGTATTGTTTGAAATAAATTTTTTAGCTACACACGAGTATTTATCATATTTACGTGCTAGTTAGTTGACCATTATTTTAGATAAACAATAGTATTCAACAAATTTACATGCTAGTTGGTTGCCTCGTAATTTAACAGATGAAAAACTACATCATCAAAAATACCAAACACGTATTTGAAATAAACATATTCTCTTGTCACAAATGAACTCTTACTTTGAAACGGAAAAATTATCATTAGTGTGTGAACTTCAACATTCTACTTTTGTTTCCCGATTCTTTCTTTCAGATCCTAGAAGTTTATGAAATGATACGAACTTTTTCTTTGCGTTTTGATCAGTTTAGCGCGGCAATGGATCCAATGCATATGGAAGAAAGGTCTAAGAAGTAAAACACTGAGAAATAGAGAAATGATTAAAAGGTCATTTCATTTTACTATTAAAGAATGCATGGAAAGTAGCTTCCCCTTGAGTTTCAGGGAATGGAAGAAACTGAATACATCTCAAAACATTATTCCTTAGTCTAATCCATAGCTATCAAACAATAGATTAGTTATCCTACTCCAAATCTTTCATTAACTAACTTAGGACCCAATGATCACCATATACCTACATATATGAATTATGAAAAGAATACTATAGAATAAAGAATATGAATACAATTCCATAGTGGATTGAAGCCAAGGCATTGTTTTGCCAATTATTATTGATTAAGCTACTATATGTCCGGCTCTATGTACAGTTGATCAATCCAAGATGGCATAATGTCATTGAACGCTCTATTACGCTTCTGCTCTAAGCTAAATAGTTGCCCAGCGTTTCCAGATGGAACTTCTTTCACAAAGTAATTGACCCAAGAAACATCAGGTTCATCTATACCAAAAAGATGCTGACTTCCACAGCTTGACTATACCTAAAAGTTGACCTAGAGCAGCAAAAATGAGTAGTGGTGCGGATGTTCATTGCCAAATCTGTCCAAATTATGCTTGAGATTTTCTTGTGTACAGTTAAAATAAAATTCACAAGAAAAAACTTAGCTCTTAATATAAATTAAATCTGATTAATTTTTAAAATATGGAATATGATTTTAAATGATAAGTAGAATGAAAGCAGCTTTACTGTCGGCCCTAAGGATTTGAAAGGGGGTTTAGGGCCAAAAAAAAGAACAGATATACTATGACGCTTTCAGATGAGAAACAATGTGAATGCATTAAGAGCTGCAGTTGACTTCCATTCCCTTAAAAAAAAAAAAAAAAAGAACAATGCACATAGTATATAGAAGACATCAGAAGATCATCATGCCTTTTTGGTAAGTTGTTAGCAAATTTTTGGATGACAAGCAGCTCAGCTAAAATGGGGCCTGTTGGACAATGATCTTGTTGTACATTGTATTTTGGTTTTTCTTTATGGTTAATCTTTTGACCCATTTTCAAATTCATTTGAAATGTAAAAAGTTTGTCTTTGAAATCTGAAAGCGGCACTGAAAATTGAACCAAAACACATAACAAGATTATGCCAAACGGGCTCTAAATGAATCCCAACATAATAACTTGTAGCATGGGAAGGAAAAAATAATCTTTTCTTTTCCTTTTTATTAAATGGCACATTAATTAATGAATACAAAATAATAATAATTACCTTCTGGTAAACTCATTATTTCTAATGCGTCCTCTGCATAAGACATCCGTTCTAGAATGAACTTATTAGTACTCTTGCTCATTACCATTGTCGTTGTGAGAGAATCACTCTGCTTTGGCCATGTGAGCACACTGACAGCAGTTGGAAGTATAGAGACAAGATCAGCATATATAAGACTTACAGTCACTTTACGCAGAAAAGAAGCCACATCTGAAATGTTATAAAACTATTCTACAGACAATTCGTTGTTTCTATTATACCCTGCACATGTGAAGAATTTCAGAAAAGTGCATAAATCAACTTACCAATTGTAATCATTAATGACGAATTCAACCAAGTGTGGTGTGGAAGACTATTATAAAGCTCTATTTGATTTCCGTACAGTTCCTTAATAAGGTGCACCTGCAAAAAAATTAGACCAGTTGACTTAATTTGGTAATACGAAAAAAAGAAAAACGTGAACATATTCAGGTATGTATATGTAGCGACAAGTGGATGCATCCAGGGGTTTAAAAATGACATCTTGCATTATAGAAGGACATCAATAAAGTGGTGGAAAACAAAAATTATTTTCCACAATAAAGGGAAAAGTGGGTATTTTCCCCAACGAAGTCCAAATATCAAAGGTTTAACAATCAACATTTGACGTAAATTTGTGTGTCCTAAAATTTTTTATACCGAATAAATCAAATTTATTTAACTCTACTACCACTTCATATCAAAACAAAAACCAACAAGCTCTCAATAAAAGCAATCATACAGGTTCCCATCGATCAACAAACTCCTGCAACAATTCTCCAACATGATCTATGAATTTCTGGAGTGCAAACATAGAAAGCCCACGTCAAACAAAAATCAAATACGTAATTATATATCAAATCATCAGCAAAAACCATCCAAAAAATATTACCAGAGCATTAGAACAAAGGTATTCATTTTCTGCTTTACGTATTGGCAAGAAAAAAGTCACAGTATGCTCAACGAAAGTCATCTTCTCAAGAAATGACTTGCTCTCAAGTCGCAGTGGAACATCTCGCAAGGTTCTCCTGCAATAATGCAGAATCAACAAACAGTTCATTCAATAGAAATTTAGAATTTATGATGCAAAGTAACAGAAACAATTAATGAAAAAACCAGATAAAATCATTTCATCTATGTCGCGTTCTTCAATTCCAACAATACACCTCACAACAATTTAGGGGAGTAACATACACGTCCGAGATTCCACACGAATAATGAATATTTATATCTACCTGCGAACGACGTCTCGTACAGAATGCCAATCCTTGCTCCCCCAAGCAACAGATCACTTGGTTCAAAAGATGGGATATGTATGACCAGATGAATTGACTATAAAAACAATAATTCTAGATCAAAGAAACGATATTGCCCAAAGCAAACATATATTTGCTAAGTCCTAACGACCCATACAACACAGAAAGGAAATCTTAAATCACTTAGCAGGATAGCAATAAATTTAGTAAATTTAGCAGGTAAGATCAATCCAAAGTCGCAGAATAAGGTCACGATGGAGAACCCAGACGAATTAAGTAAATTGTGCATAAAGAATAAGAAAAGAACTTAACGACCCATGTTGATTATAAAAGTATGCATTAATCTACTAAACTAAATTGATATCCAAGAAACTAAAAACCGAAGGAGTAAACCACACCAATTGGGACCAAAGTAGCCATCAACTTTTAAATTTATAAAACCGAAATCAATTAACCGAATTAAATTGACCATTAAAACCATAAAAGACCAAAATATCAAATATGATGATAGAAGATGACAAAAAATCTCATGGATATGCACGCATATGTAGATATACCTACCAATGTCAATGCAGCTTTCAACCAAAATAAAAAATATTTCTAGGGCAAACTGACTTGTAAAACTCAAAAGATTATGGTCTACAAATCTTTATCAAATGTTAATATAAGGAGTGCAAATTACCCTGATTCATGTGTGCCCACAATGTAAGAATCCAGCACCACAAACTTCAAAATCCTCTCTTTTAACTCCTGCATAAGATGAATGATGAACTATCAGCTCTTTCGTAATCTCCACAATACGTAAAGAAATACATTTTCCTTATTGAAAGGCAACATATCAGATGAAAGTAATGCCTACCTACTCGGACCAAATATTGCAGATTCTTTAAATTGTGAATATCAGAAAAATTAAATTCCAATTTTCTGAAAATGTCCTAATAAACTCAAATGGGAAAAATTCCTTTCTAAACCCAAGGGAGCGCCTAATTTGGAGGAGCTTACCAACAGCTACAGCGATAAACTTGCCGTCGGGGCTGAATTTGGCGGTGGCGACGTGGTGTTTGAATATGATCCTATAGAGCACCACGCGGCGACGCATGTTGATGAAGAGGCAGCGGTTGTTGTCGTGGATGGCGAGCAGAAAGATGCCATCTGCCAAATTCACAGAATGTGCTTAAAAACCACCACCTGGTTGTCCCCCCGAGAAGCCCTCCATCTGCTTAAAAAGGGCGCAATCGATCGAATCTAAACCAAAAACATAAAAGGAGGATCTTTTGGAATTACAATAACGATTAACAATTGTAAAAAGTTCATAGCACATATGGAAAAAAATGATGTTGCACAAAAACAGAACAACCCAAATAATAGGATAGTTTTTTAATCAAAAGAAGCTTACAATAATCGTGGAGAAAATGAAGTAGAAAAGGAACTAAGAAAACATTTTAAAAATAACAATAATAGTTGAATCAATCGGAAAGATACCTTAATGGACTGGAAAAGAAGTGGAAGAAGAGGTGTTGGATGAAGTTTGCTGCAACCGGTAGTCCGAGTTTATCCGGTGTTGTTAATCTAGCTTATTTATGCGTAAGAGACTTCAGCTTGAAGGAGAAGAGCCCGACTCATAGATTTCTAATCCGTATACAAATTCGGTGAATATTTTTATTTATATTCCAAATCTAGATTCATAAATTTTGATTTGTATTCCAAATCTATATTCATAGACAAGAATTTCCTAATTCTGACGACGCTGCCAAGTTCGATTACTTGAAAAATTCGGCGATTGTTTTCTTCTTGTTCAGAGGAAGTTCAATTTTAGTGAAGATGGTTGTTCGACAATTGATGCCGTTGTTCTCCTTTGGCGGCTCGACGTAATGGATTTGATGCCGAATGTGGTTTTTGTGGTAATAAGGAGGACGACGAACGGTGATGGGTGCCAATGTTGGCAGAGAAAGCATTGTCTTAGTTTTTTTGTTTTTTTTAGGGGAGAGAAAGATGAGGTGAACGTCGAGTTTTTTTGGTGGCAGTGGAGGCGGAGTCTTTTGGGTTTTTTCTTTTATATAAATGTTTCTGGGTGAGGCAGACAAGGTGGATGATGAGGGCAAATGAGAGATGATTAGTGAAAAGTATAGAACGATGTCGTTTTATCGGTTGGGGTTTTTCACCACAAAATCTCACGGAGAAGAAAAAACGACGTCGTTTTTTTGGATGATTAGAATTTTTTTTCTCAAGAGCTTACAGATTTTTTTTTTTTTTTGGATTGGGATGTATTTATGAATTTCTTTTTTTACCTCTAATAAGTCGCTGAGTGTATTTTTTGTATTGGAAATGTAAATAGGTATATTGGAAATTTAAAAAGGTGTATTGGGAACGTAAAAAGGTATGCTGGGATAGGATAGATATTAATTAAAAATTCTGAAAAAATGTTCGAAAAAATGAACTAAACAGTACACTGAATTTGTGAAATTTCGTTTTTACCCCTAACAAGTGACTTAATATTGTGAGGAACTGTATTAAAAGCTTCCGGTTTTAAATTTAAAATTTAGTGAGGAACTGTATTTATGAAATTTAGATTTTGTCCTTAATAAGTCGTTGATGTCATATCAACCCCATCCGACGGACCGGATCGCTTTGAAGGTGGTCTTTGAATATTTCTTGGGCATTTAATTTCTTGCCTACTGTGACTTTATATTAAGTATAAAGATAAGGATAAGGATAAATCTACATTTTGTTTTTAGAACAACTATCAAAGCAGAAATGAAATATAAAAATCACGCTATAACTAAAAATTTTTCTACCTAAACCATATCAAGCCAATACTACATAATTTTGATTAAAAAAGAAAAACTCTAACTAAATATATTAAAAATTAGTTTTTACTAAAATATTTGTTTTGAGAAAAAGATTTTAATAATTTATTTGTGGTCTTATGTAACATGTTTTCACCACTAAAAAAAATAGTAATCGTAATAACTAGTTCAACAAATAAAATTTTTAAAAGAAAAAGAAATAGAAAAAGAAAACCTATACGAAAAATTAAGCCGCCGTAAAATAGAAAATCAAATCCAATTCCGATTTGTAAATTTTCCATGCAACTCCCTCTATATATAAACATAGTATAGTATGATTGCTTTTTGTTTGTTTCCTTTTTTCAATCATCTCTGCAATGGCGGTAGTAGATTCAGGAAGACACCCTATCCGTCCGACCCGTCCTTTGCCGGTATGGCCGAAGCCAGAACGACGGAACAGCAACTCTTCCTCCGGTTGTCTCAAACCAATCAAAACCGCCGAAGGCTTTCAAAAACCTCCGAAAAATAATACGGTCGCAATCGAAACGCTCAGAGACCTTTTCACACAAACTGAAGTTCATCTTTGGGACGATCACCCGAAACAGCCTAATGGATTGGTGGTAGATTGCCCATTGAATACCAAATTATCCAACATTATCGGTAGATATTGGAACCAGCGTTATAATTTGTTCTCCAAGTTCGATCAAGGCATCAAGATGGACGTGGAAGGATGGTTTTCCGTCACCCCGGAAGCCATTGCAAAGCACCAGGCGCGGCGTTGTTGTGGGACCAAAGGCGGCAGTGGAACGATCGTGGACTGCTTTACCGGCGTCGGAGGTAACGTGATCCAATTTGCGCAGCAGACGAATTGCCAGCGAGTCATAGCCATTGATATCGATTCGCGAAAACTCCAATTTGCGATACATAATGCCAAGATCTACGGGATCGATCGGAGCAAAGTAATGTTTATGTTGGATGATGCCATGGTCGTGGGACCTAAGTTGCGCGGAGACGTGGTTTTCTTGTCCCCGCCTTGGGGAGGACCGGATTACTTGAAGCACAAGACGTTTGATATCAACACCATGTTAAAGCCTTGCGGCGGCCAAGCACTTTTCGACATGGCGAAGAAGATTGCGCCGAAGATCGTGATGTTCTTGCCTAAGAATGTGGATCCTAATCAGCTGGCGGAGTTGGCCCTTTCGGCGAGTCCGCCGTGGTCGTTGGAGGTCGAGAAGAATTACTTAAACGGCCGGCTTAAGGCCGTGACGGCTTACTTCACTAAAATCAGATGGTAATGTAACTTAGGGTTCGTTTTTAATTGATAGTGTCATCAACTGGTACTTGTTGTATATATTATTAATCTGTCATGGAGAATGATTCTTTGTTTGATGTAAGAAGGGTTGTGCTAGTTTCATTCGACATATGATGTTGTAAATTGTCAGTTGCAGTTAGGATCACGAGCTATCAACAAATTAATTATCTTTTGATGAAACACTAAGAGCTCTTCTATAGTCAAAATTGATTCATAAGATAAATTGATAATTTTTCAATTTTATGGTGTATAAATGTCACAGCCACTGGTTACAGTTCGCGAATTTCCACCTTTGATGTTACTCTATCTGACAATTTAAGCATTTTTGGAGCTTCGGCTAATGTCTTGTAGAAAAACAATGTTTTTGCTCTTCGAACTTCTAGCATATTGACCTTCAAAAAGAGAAACTAGTTTTTTTTTTTTTTTTTGTAGTATCAACTGAGTGATAATACGTGATAACATTATTGATGTGTCTTATCATTTTGGTGTATTAATTTGATTGTAGTAGGCTCTTAATACGTACTTAAAAAATCATTTTTATACGGTGATGATACTAAACCATTTGGTGTATTATTGAAATGCAAATTATTGTACTCCATTAGAACATTTGAAATGGTATCATAAACTGTCCTGGTTTACTGTTAGACTTACAAGATGAACATTTTTTCTATAAAGAAAACGAGTTATTTACTTAATTTGTTAGTATTTCATCCGAAAATGATAACTCTGTTTATTGGATTATGTAACACAAAATAGAGAATCAGGTATGTATCACCTTGTCTTTTTGACTAGCTCTCTCCCAGTCCAATATATCCTTTTCCACAACATTGAAACAAAACAAAGGCTTGTCTTGCATCACATGGCTTTCCTTCTTTCTTTCTTATCAATTTCACTTTACTTTAAACAATTCCATGAAATCAGGAAAAAAAAAAACAAAAAAACAAAAAGCACAAAGATCCATTCTCAAAATACAAAGACAGAGATAGGACCCCTTCTCAGTTTTCACTTTTAACTTTAGATTTTTTTTTTATTTTTTTTTACAATAAAAGATTAAACAAACAAACAAACAAACCCCACCATTAACTCCAAAGATTAATCTACGAATACTACTACTACTATATTGCTAAGCCTACTCTCATTAGCTAAGATGCTTTCTTTTTTTGCATAAATACTGAGGAGAAAACCACTCTACAATACATGTCTGTTGTTCTTCTCTGCTGCAATGGCTAGTAACCTTGAGACACCCTGAGTCCAGATATCATATTCCCTCTGATTCCGGCACTCGAATTCGACGACTCCTCGCAATATCGTCTTTAAAGCAAAGTATCTCCTGTGCTCACCGCCTTCGAGCAAGTGGCGCCCTGGCCAAGCCGGAACATCTTTAATTACCTCCAGCACAACATCTACAGAATTCAAAAGAGATCAAAAGTTAAAGATGGATGACAACTTTTTTCAAACTTTCACCACTCAAAATATGCAGTCTACTTTCTCAAATCCCCAAATAGAAGAAAGGAAGCACCCCCACCACCTCCAATTCCGTTGTTATCATTAGAGAGAGACAAAATCATTCTCAAGACTCAACTTACTCTTTTTCTTTTTCGTTATGGTCCCAGCAACATGTCTGCTCTTCATCTTTAGAATCACCTGCAATGGGGAAGTATTGTGAGTTGCAGATCCAAATGAAACGAACAGATCAGATTCTTGGGCATTGGCTTTGTTCTTTCCTAGATATGATCCAACTTTTTTAAAGGAATACTTGACCAGGAGCCATTATTTGGCACTTGAAACACAAAGGAATCATCACAATATTCGAAAACTTTGATAAATGCTGAACTTGATCCACATCAATCATCCAATCATACAAAGTAGTGACGTACCTGACCCATTCTATTGATGTAGACAGAAACAATCTTCCAATGGAGGTCTCCTGCATTTAGAATATGAAAGAGATTATTAAACAACAAGTACAAACATTAGGGAAAGTAACCTACATAATGCACAAACAAAATTCAATCTTTCCTGTGGATGCATTCATTTTGGACTAGTTCAGAAGTATGATACACTTTGAAGAACAGACTGATATCATGTCTTTACCTTTGCGAGTGCGCTTTAGGAGCTCACAACCTCTGGCAAGCAACTCCCTGCTGCATATCCCAAGAAAGTTCTCTTCAGGGACCAACTCTCCACTGAAGCTACCATTTGAACTACCATTACTCCCACCATTACCGCCATTCCCCACTCCCATTCCTTTCTCTATTGGGATCACCGATGCAATATTCCAGACTTCCTTCAGTGTTCTAGCCTTTAGTGTCGCAGCTCCACGCAAAGCTAAAAGATAACAATTCAGAAGTTCAGTAAGAGATAAAGTGACTCAAATGAAATCTCATAAGAAAATGCAAATGCAATAAGCAAAGAATCATCAACAAAATGTCCTCTAATTATTGGTTCATGATTGAAACATTTAATAGATCATATGATCAATACGAAAATTTAGAGTTTGATATACCAGTCGCTGCAGCAGCTGTTAAGGTCATGATATCACCAGCAGAACGCACATTCACAGCAGAACTAACAACTGACGCTAGGTGATCACGCTCAGCGCCCATAGCCTCTGCTGCCTCCACACACTGTGCAGCCACAAGCGTAGCAGCCGAGGCCACAGCCATATCTGTTTTAGCCATATTTTCATCCTTTCCTTGCGCTGATGAAGCAGCTGTGGCAGCGGCAATTGCTGCAATAGCAGATGCCACACCAGCAACCGAAACAGCAGCATGCAGCTGTGCATTATGAGCCCTTGTCTCCTCTTTCTTCTTTTCCTTCCTATCCTTCAACCACCTTCCCACTGTCTTCCCGCCCCCACCGACGGCCACTCCGTTGTTGCCAGTAGGGCAACCTCCCCTGTACTGTGTATTTGCTGAGTTGTTCAGGCGATAGAACTGCACATTTAATTTATAGAAACATTTATTAGTTACTTCGCAACAGGGAATATAAAAACACAACGTGCACAAGCAACAACTAGACTGATATAGCTATTAAAATTGTCAAAACTGAAAATCTGCCAATGTGCCCATTTGCAAGGAATACACCACCAACTTCCCCGTGAACCACATAAATGTGTCAATTACTGTCAAAGGCAATCATCAAAGACCCAGTTTTTCTTGGTGAATCTAGTAGCTAAGGATCATAACAAACACTATTGTTCAAGCCTCGTGGACCATTACAATCAAAGAATTTCCTTTTCCAGCCTCACAAGCCCAGTCAAGAAGAAAAGGACAATTGTATTTCAGGGCCCCACTTCTGATATAACCTTGTATGTACTGGAAAAAATATGTAACTAATTTTCTGCACATAATATATCACTGCAACGACCCATTCTACATCTTATCATTAGAACTATCATTTTGCCTCATTAAAATCATTCACAACCTCATCCACCATACTCAATGCCAGAGTTGAAAAGCGTAATCTTGATAAAAGTTCATATTTAAACGGGCTATTGAGCTAAATCTGAGTTCGATACGACCAGTAATCTAGTGATTCGTGCTGTATGTGTCAAAAGGTAGTAAAAGTATCAATAATGAGGAGCCCTTTTGACACGAGCATATTTTGGTTAAAGAGAAAGGTAAAGAAATTGTGTGCTTCTCAGAACATATTCAGCAGTTACAGAGCTCGTGCTTAACACTATAAACACTAAAAATCGAAGATATGAAAGCCCATACAGGATTTAGTATGAAAGAGAGAAAGATTAGACCTTATCGTCCATTTCAGAAGGAGAGACAGGAGGGCTGTCAGAAAGAGAGCCACCATTGAGAGGTCCACTACTGTGAGAAAGCCTTCCAGAAGTGCGTGGTGATACTTCCTGCTGTAAAAATTAGAACTTGATCCTTTAAATAAAAAAATTGAACTGTAAAAATGAGTTATGTTATAACAAAAAAAAATCAGACACGCTGCTGAAAAAGGTGAAGACCGGAATCATTGAAGACTTTCAGATTGCGCAAGGAATCAAAATCATTGCTGAATAATATATATAAAATCTAAGGATAAATCTTGGGTTTACTTTTCTTTTTTTGAAAAATCAAACACGAATAGATTAGTGCACGATTGAAATGATTACTTCTGGAGATTTTGGAGGGGTAATTGATTATATTAGAAGTGTGGAAGAAAGAAGAATAGAGAGTGCTCTGTTTTACTGTAATTTAATCTCTCAGTTGAATTCATGATTGCTTTCCCGAGATAAACATTAATGCAAGATTAACTGTTTTAAAATTACTTTAAAACTGATTTAAAATTCCACTTTCCCAATCCAAGAAAGTCTTTTTTGTTTTTCCCATGAACCAGACAAATGAAAACAAAGGAACAAACAAACAAACAAAACCAGAAGCAGAACAAAACACAAATAGTACAACAACGCTTCAATATAAACAAAAAAATTGCAGATAAACAACTCAACCCCAAAACACAAAGAGTTCCAAAATTTTTGTCAAACAAATTCAAACAAACAAGACAAAATTCCGGAATGTTTGCTATCCGGGTTCAATTTTTAATTTTTATTTTGGGCACTCAAATGCATAAAAGATGATCTTTTTTATCTGTTTTCTCCCTCTGTGAAAAACACACACAAAACACTTACAGACTGTGACATGATGCGTTCCATGACAAGCTGAGAAGTCTCCGAGGAAGCAAACGAAAAAGGGTTCCCGGAAACGGTAGCAGATTCCTCCAACTCGCCGGAAATATCCTCCGGTATAACCCCATCACCGCCGCCGCCAAGAACACCGACATTATGACTCAGAGGAGGTAAACCACCATTTATTCCGCCATTTAGAGTTTTACCTAAAACCTGAGAAGGGGCAAGAGCTTTAGAAACTTCAAGAGCCGAAATGCTCCATGAACGGGAAAGAAACTCCATCGGCTCCCTCGGAGTCTCCGGCGGCCTGTAAAACGGCTGAACTCTCTCCATTTCTGGTACGTGTTTGAAGGGGTACTATGTGTTTGTGTAGAATTTGTGATTCTTTTTCCGGAAAGAGGTGGGAAGGGAATGGAGTTTAGAGGTGAAAAGATCAATAAAAATTGATGCTTTATAGGGGAAGGGGAAACTGGAAAGAAGAAGGTAGGACACTGTCAGTGTGTGCGTTTTTGGAGGTGTCGGAAGTGTGTGAGTATGTGAGAGAGAAATTGACAAAAATTGTCAGGGAGTTACTACTGTGTAGTGTGAGACAGGGAATGTATTCGATTTATACATAATTAAATAAAAAAAATACAATTTTTTAATGAGTTTTGTGGTCTTTGAGAGACATTGGGAAAGTAAAGGGAGGAATAAATTAAGAAAACAAACTATAACTGTGTGAGTTTACGTTTAACAACGACAATTTCTAAACATTCAAGAAATGGTAACTAGAACTGATTAAACCCAAGTTTTTAATCAATTCATCTTGTTTGATATTTTTATGTGAATGTCAAATTGCCCTATAAACCTTTTTTTATGTCTTTCTAGTCAGGAGGATAAATACTGTATCTCACCTCCTCTCAAAGTAGCAGCACCAGCAGCATCTTTACTATTAGTATTAGTAGTATTATTATTACATGAAAATAAGGCAGACTAAGACGTAAAAATTACTAAAAGTTATATTCGCTCCGCTGCAAGATAATTATATATTTTAAAATATTTTAAAATTTCATTCTTAGTATAAATTTATTAAAAATAAAAATCTAAACTGAACAATCATTTTAGAAAAGAGTAAGTATTAATTAGATTACGCAACCTTGATTCCCTCATGGCATTCCATGAATTTACCATGCATGATATTTTCTATCTCTTCCAAGATAAGAATCTATTTCTTGAAATAAAATTATCAAATAAGATTATTATTTTGGAACAGAGGAACGTAACTGACATGTTTAAAAAAAGTTGGTCACTAATGATATACTACTTTTTTAATGAAATTTAGTATACTTTTCAATAAGTAAAATATTGGTGAATTTTATGTAAATCTTCCATAATTCTTTCCACCATTTTATACTACTTTTCAATAGTTGCTTCTGGAAAAATTTGAGCGTTGTATTTCTTCTGGGAAGTATTTATTAGCAACCAGATTTACCGTTGAAAGTCAACCTTTGCAGGATTGGTCTATGATATGAATTTTCAGGCCGTTACTTCTTGAGTGTTACGATATCGCAATCTTGGCGCAAAAGACAAATAAACTTAATAATTTTATTACATCAACAGTATCTGAAATTTGGATTAACTTCAAACTTAAGGATCTTTATTTCTTCAATTATTGATCATTGTTCAATAACCACTTATAGACATGCACGAATAAACTAAAAGTTTGAGTGAAGATCTTTCTTTTGCATTGAAAGAGACAAAACTATTAGGGTTAAGGTCCTTAAGGAGACGATCCAAAAAAAAGAGACAAAACTACTCTGCTAGGGTTAAGGTCCTTAAGGAGACGATCCATTAGTTACATTTTTGTAGCTTTTATAAAGTTTAAGTACTCCCTCTGGTCCTTCCTTATTATAAGACAATTTAATTTGCCCTAAATTTCACGTAAGATGTCTTTTGTTAATTGAAATAAAAACTTTAAAAATATTTTCTAATAATTAGGATATCACAACAAATGTGAAAATATATTCTAGAGTTTTTTTTTTTGCAATTTAAACAGCATCATAGGTGAAACATAGGACAAAATTAAAATATCTTATAATAAGGATCAGAGGGGATATTATTTTTTTGAGGTGAATATATAAGATATTATTTTACTTATCAGTCACTCATGCAATCTCCATTATTTCTATCTTGCTGTATGATTAAGTTCGTCTGTCCCTGATTTTATCATATATAGAATAATATTCTCTCCGTCTCGAAATTTTTGTCCAAATTAAATTTTTATTTTTAGTTCAAATTGTACTAAAAGTGAAATATCGAACTGGATATTAATTTTAGGACACAAGGAGTACAATACCCAGAGTACTTAGTAAAAGATTGATTAATTTTGCAAACAAATTAAATCAAGCAACCGATTGATCATGAGCATGGAACCCCACATTTTCAACTTTCAAGCAGAGCCGATGAAGTGTAACCCATCTACCTAAAATGACATTAAATCAAGGGGCCAATTCCTAAATAATGAATGTACGAGTTAATTACAAAGACCTTTAGAGTCTATATTATTGTCATGGCTGTAGAGTAACCTGAGAAAGATGTAACACAACAAACCAACCCCAAAATAAATGAGAAAGTGACGGAGAAAGATATATATAGAAAAAGAAAGGGAAAAAAAAAATCATATTTTTCACTTTATAATTAGAAATTCAGAATGTTTGGGATACGAATTTGGACCTTATCAAGTTGTGGCCAATGCAAATGGCCTTCTTCATTAATGTTTTAACAGTAACATTCCATCCAATTCTTGTATTTTGTTTATTATGCACTTCTGGCTCTCATTCATTTGCTACATATTTCCGCGTTTGCAACAATTAATGATCTATACATAAATTAACTAAAATAACATATTAACTCAGCAACCATGTCCAGCTATATATGTATGGATATTGTGCACGTGTATAAATAGTGTACACCTTGAGCTTTTTTTTGCATGCAAAAAGATTGATGAATCGCTAAGTTTGGTTATGTTCAAATTAATTACGTATTCAGCTAAAGAAGAGCATAGAAGTCAATTTAGGGCCAGAAGTGCAAAAGATGAAAGGAAAAAAAAAAAGAAAAAAGGCTTCACTAGCGTTGCAAAAGAAAAAAAAAAAAGTATTATTGTGTTTTTAATCAAAATTTAATTCTTTTATATTTTTTCATTTATATTCCAACAACAACTTAATCCTTTCATTTCTTTCACGCACACTAGCTACTATAATTCCAACCCTAATTGTCATCATCACACTACAAATGTGAATGATTATATAAACCGACCTAAAATGGTCGACTTAACATATAATTGTAGTAAATTGTACATGAAAAAAAGAAATACTATCATGCAAAAGAACTTTATTTTAAAATGGCATTCAAGTTTCTTTAAGAAAGAAACTTTATTTCGAAAAGCATCAATATCAGTAAAGAAACTAATTAAGGTGTATTGACGGTAGATATCATGCTAGCTACATGAAATTGTGATGCATGGAGTAGTAAGAGCTCATCTTAGAACCTCCTTTTTTTTTTTTTTTTTTTTTTTTTTGAAGTGAATTTCTAGGCAGATATTATAGTCATTGCCATTATAATACCACATACCAAGTCAGTTTGTTGTTATAGTTTTATTTTTTTTTTCCATATGGTGTTTACCGTCGGTAACAGTGACTAATCCCTCTTGCTGAGTTGTAGGCACCTCAATGTGTGTGACAGTTGGCCAAAGTATTTAAGGTTGCTCCATACCCATGGCGAGATTCGAACCCTCGACCTATGATTAAGGGTGGAGGAGTCACTCCCACTCCACCTCAACCACTTTGGTTTTTGTTGTAATTTTTTTAAATTGAAAAAAAAAAAGCGTTCAGTGGCATAGCTTAATGTACTTTTATCAATTCAATCATTATAAAATATCGTAGAATAATTTCATTTTCTTTTTAAAAATTGATTTCTTAACTAACTCTTCCATTCATAATAATTACTCCTATATTGATGATTATTTGATAGTATAGTGTTTTTTGTCTGGTCCCTCTCTGCAGCGGTGGATGAACAAAAGAATAAATGCTCCTAATCCACAACCACCTCACACACTCTCCTCACTCTTCTCGTAACCAAGAACATCTTTTACCAAACTTAACCAAGAAAAAACAAATACTCAACATTAATTAAAATGATAATAATAACATATGTTCTTACGAAGCCGGAAAAAAATTATCCATAAGTTAATATACGAAAATCCAGAGAAAAATGGATCTCAACAAGATCAAAACTATGGCCATTTTCATGATCTTTGTGCTTCAAATATGTAGCGGTAATTTTATTAGGGTTGTAAATGCAGATACATTGGAGGAATGTATAACTACGTTGATGAACCTTGGGTGTGGACATTTTGAAGATGCAGAATCTATGTGTATGAGCACTCCTGGTATGCATGATGATGATAATCAAGTCAAGTAATAATATAAATTAATTTTCTTTTTTCATCTTTTTTTTGTATTATCCTTTTTGATGTAAATGGAGAGTAAATTTTTTCATGTACAGTTTCTTCCTTCTTCCTTTTTTTAATACGTCCGAAACTCTTCGAAAAATGAGTAAATTTTATCATTCACAGTTTTATCCTTTATATTTGCATTGAAACGAATGCATAATTTGGCAATGTGTTTTGTTTTTTTTATATATCCTCCACATTGTAAAACACAAAACCAATTCATGAACTAATTTTGATACTTTTACATCACGCCATGAAAATAAATTACTCGGCTCAAGCTAGCAGAAATACTTATTATAGTTTTAACGCTGGTCTCAGATATCAGGAGTTTAAAATCTAACAAAAAAGTCTGTCATAAAAATGTAATCTTTTATTTCCTTTTCCTTGTTTTCTAGAAACTCTTTTTCGCTTTGAAGTTGCATTATCAAATGATGAACTAATCTATCATTTTTTTTTCAACTTTTTAAGTTATGAATGTGAGCTCCCAAAAGAAAGAAGAAGCAATAAATTAAGTATAATAACTTTTTTCCAACCCCAAAAAAAAAAAAAAATCCAAAATTTTTACGCGACTAAAATTAACCATGGCCTTACCTTGAAAGGTGGCAGCTATATTCTTTCATGAATAACAACATATTTACCTTACAATACAACCCATTAGTTTCACTTTTTTACCCATTCATCTCCTCACCACTAATTCTTCCGCAAGTCAAATCTCATCGCAAAAAATTCTCACAAACACAAATCTTCAATAATTCACCATTCAATCTCCTCCTCCTCGTTATAATTCAGCTCATCGTATCACCATTGTTCTAAGGGCTCCTTTTTTTTTTTCGCGTTCAACGTGAAAAACATACAACTCAAAAACCCAAGAATAATTCCACGAAAAAAAAAGAAAAGAAAAACGATTGATGGAGAGCAACAAAGCCATTACCGTGTTATTGATCGCCATGATCGTGGTGTTTGGAATGGTAGAGGCGGAGTTAAGTCAGGATGAGATCATGAAAAATGACCTACAAGCTTGTCTGGACAAAGCTCGAAAACTCGGAGCCGAAGCTCAGACTTCTAAAGAAGAATGTAAAAGGGTGGTTGGGTACTATGATCGGTAACAACAAATTCCA